AAATATGACCAGATTGATAAAAAAACCCGCGTTCATCCCAAAAGCGTCAAAAAAAATGTAAATAATGACCCCCTTAAAAAATATACTATAAGTTAACTTATAGTATATTTTTAAGAATACCCTATTTTTAAAGGGGGCCATTATTTACATTCTCCCCTGTTTTTTTGACACCCCCAAGATGAACACAGGCTTTTCTTATCAATCTGGTCACACTCCCTCTTCCCAGGTCCGACACTCGTGCCTGTGGCTTATATGTAAATTGTTTTACTAATAAATTTCCAAAAACATTTCAAGTACAATCATTTAATTTTGGGATTTAACATTTTTGATTATAATTTGTACAAATTTACATAAATTAATTAGTTCTTTTTTGTTTTCTGAATTGAATAACTTGTCAAATTTAAGTATGCTGTGTTGTTTGTAATAGTAAGGTTTGATCAGTGTATTTCGTGATTCTTGAAAGTGTTTACAATCAAGGATGTAGTGATACTCATCACCTTAACCTTGATTGCATAAATAACAGGTTCTTTCATTTAATGGTATGTTATGGTAACGTCCAACCTCAACTTGACATTTATGATTCCTTGTTGTAAATGCTGTTAACAGTTTTCCATAATAATTTGGTTTTTTGTGAAATATTTATTCATGTTTGGATCATGTTTAATTATCTTGTACATTAAGTTAGTTGAATTATTAACTGTTGAGCTCCATGTTTGGATAAATTGGTCTTTAATATTTCTTTTAAAAGCAAGTGAAAACCATTTAAGATTCAGTTCACTTTGGTTTATCAATACATTACTGAATCCATTTGTTTGAATCAGATTATAAATAAAGTCTAACCATTTTGATTTGACATTTCTTTGCCTATTTAGTGCAGTTAAAATATTATACATTATGTTTGCCAGTTTGTTATTATCTGTATGTGTCAATTGATTATAATTATGGTTGTTATCATAATCAGTGTTATTATTATCATTGGGATTGTTATTATCAGTGTTATTAGTAGCATTGGGATTGTTATTATCAGTGCTATTATTATCATTGGGATTGTTATCATTGGTGTTATTATTATCATTGGTATTTTCATTATTGGTGTTGTTAATACCATTGTTATTATTACTACTACCGTTATTATTATTATTATTTATATTGTTATTGTTATTATTTATTCTACACCAGAAATATATCCTTCTTATTCTGGCTTCTTCTTTAAGCGGCATTATACCTAGTTCACTGTAAATCATACAGGAAGGCGTTGACCTTTTTAAATTTAAGATGTGTTTGAAAATCTTGAGTTGTACTCTTTCAAGACATGTCATGTTACTGTAGCCATAAAGCTCACTCCCATATAAAAACATAGGTTGGATTGTTTTTATGCCCCCGCCATGTAATGGCCGGGGCATATAGTGTTACCCTGTTCCGTCATTCCGTCCTTCCGTCCTTCCGTCCTTCCATCCTTCCGTCCTTCCGTCCTTCCGTCCTTCCGTCATTCTGTCATTCCGTCATCATCAGTTTCCGTTCATTATCTTAAGAACGGTTGCACACATTCAACTCAAATTTGACATATGAATATGTCATGACAAAATACAGGTCAAGTTCGAATTTGGTCATGGTTCGATGATTTTTGACAGAGTTATGCCCCTTTTACTTTGAAAATAATATGAAATTTCAGTTTCCGTTCATTATCTCCCCAACGGTACAACACAATCAACTCAAACTTGACATATGGATATGCCATGACAAAATACAGGTCAAGTTCGAATTTGGTCATGGTTCGATGATTTTTGGCAGAGTTATGCCCCTTTTACTTTGAAAATAATGTGAATTTTCAGTTTCCGTTCATTATCTCCCCAACGGTACAACACATTCAACTCAAACTTGACATATGGATATGTCATGACAAAATACAGGTCAAGTTCGAATTTGGTCATGGTTCGATGATTTTTGGCAGAGTTATGCCCCTTTTACTTTTAAAATAATATGAAATTTTCAGTTTCCGTTTATTATCTCCCCAACGGTACAACACATTCAACTCAAACTTGACATATGGACATGTCATTAGAAAATACAGGCCAAGTTTGAATTTGGTCATGGTTCGATGATTTTTGGCAGAGTTATGCCCCTTTTACTTTGAAAATAATGTGAAATTTTCAGTTTCCGTTCATTATCTCCCCAACAGTACAACACATTCAACTCAAACTTGACATATGGATGCGTCAAAAGAATGCGCAGGTCATGTTCAAATTTGGTCATGGTTCAATGATTTTTGGCAGAGTTATGCCCCTTTCACTTTGAAAGTAATATGAAATTTTCAGTTTCCGTTTATTATCTCCCCAACAGTACAACACATTCAACTCAAATTTGACATATGGATATGTTTTTGGAATGCCCAGGTCAAGTTGGAATTTGGTCATGGTTCAATGATTTATTGGCAGAGTTATGCCCCTTTCACTTTGAAAATAATATGAAATTTACAGTTTCTGTTCATTATCTACCCAACAGTGTTACATATTCAACTTAAATTTGACATATGGATATGTCAAAGGAATGGGCAGGTCAAGTTGAAATTTGGTCAGGGTTTGATGATTTTTTTTGCAGAGTTATGTCCCTTTCACTTTGAAAATAATATAGATACATCTTAGGAATAAGCAGTTTAAGTATGAATTTGGTTGTGGTTCAATGATTTTAGACAAACTTATCTTTCCTGAATGTTGGAAAAATTTTGTACTTTCAGTTTCAGCACTCATACTTTTAGCCATTCTTTTGGCTACAAATATGAAATATGTTATTTTTAAAAGGTTAAGACTGAATAATTTCAGTGTCTTGATAATTGTATGAAAATGGTTTGTGTTAACATTTTAAAGTTTTAAGGGCTTTGAACTTAAAATGAAAAAAATAATTAATGCACCATCTAAAATTTTGGCTGCATGCGGGGGCATCCGTGGCATGATGACACATTTCTAGTTTTTTATATATATATCAACTTGTAGATCTAGAGGCAAGTCAATATGTCTTATTTTCTTTAATAACATATACATGGCCTTTGTTGCCTGTTTAGCAATGTGATCTTTGTTTTTTTATAGCTGCAGGTTTTTGATAAATAGAGTCCTAAGTATTTGTATTCATTTACATTTTCTATTTCTTTATTCTCATAAGTAAAGATTGGAAGGTTATTTACAATTCTGGATCCAAAAATGATTATTTTAGTTTTTAGCGTGTTGACTGTAAGTTTCCATTTTGTGCAGTATTGTTCGAATAGTTCTAGCCCTTTTTGTAGGCCTTGTTGAGAATCACTTAATAACACTGTGTCATCAGCATATAGAATAACAAAGAGTTTGAGATAAATTGAAAGGTTAAGTTCAGAGATGCTGAAGCTGATTCCATTTGCATTATTATAATGATCAAATTTCAATTTTGTGTCATATATTGAACACTATAACGGTTGACTCATGTTAAGCCGGACATCCTAATTTAAAAGTTATAATTAGTGCAGGAGGGTGTGTGTGTGGGGGGGGGGGTGTATAGAAATGAATGAAAGAAATAATATCCATTTTAGTCATTTACGTGCGAACCAGAATTACGGTTGAACAAATTCTATTTCGATCGCATAAACGTTACCTATAAAGAAAGATTTAGTTTAACGTGAAACGTTTGTTATATATAAATTAGGTTGGACTTTTTGAAGTAAGCTGATATACTGAACAATTTAAAAAAAATATATAACTAGGCCTCTTTGTTTCGTTTTTATTTGTTGTTGTTTTTTTGATGGTATGATATGCTTTAAGTATAAACTAATGATTGTTTAACTAATAGTATATTGCAAATTAAGGTTAAAATTCATAATTTCCGTATCTAAACACTATATTAAATTGAACTACACTATCCCAAAATCCAAAAGTTGCAATGTTTTAATAAAAACCACCAGGATATGTATAGACTTTGACATAATAACCTTACGTATCCCATTATCTTACTTCAATTCAATAATTTTATATGTTTGGTTCGGTTCATTTTAGTTTGTGTATGTGCCGTTTCTTACGGATTTTTCGTTTAATACTTCATCACTCCATTCATGTATAGAACTAAAATTCATAAAATTGTATAATAATTGAATGATTATACTTCTTAAATAAGTTAAGAAAAGATTTTCATGACCACGTAAAAAAGAATGACCATATAATTATACGTAATGGAACATATTAAAACAGAAATGTAACTTCAAAAATTGAGTGACGTATTCACACCACAAAAACAGTTTAACAACAATAATTTAAAAGTCACTTTAAGTATGCTTTGACCGTTTAGTTATTATTTGTTTAAATTATTTTGAAATGGGAATTCATAAATTAGAAAGGGCGTATAGATTACAAAAAGAAATATTTTTATTACAACGCAGTTTTTGTTCATTTTTAAATCCATGTATAAAAAGTATGTTACTTATATAGGCTATTTATTTATACAATACCAGGATTATTTAAAAGGGGATTAAATTCACGCGTTCATACAATAGTACGAAAAGTGTTACCCTTCGGTCACTTGTATTTAATCTTTTACAATAGATATCTAATGTTTTTTAAAGCAGATAATGACTACTCTAAATTTATAGCTTTATAATGAAAGACCGATCTTTGTAATTAATCAGTAAAATTTACATGCTATGAACGATCACAATTAACGCACAGGGTGAAAATAATTGTCCAATAAAAAAGAAAAAACACTACAACTGTTTTGTTTAAAAATAACGCAGTGATTTTCTATAAATAATTATAAAGGAAATGTGTTTAAACGAAATGAACAGTTTTTAATCTTATTCGTCGGACTGTTTGAAAAAAAAAAATGGGGATATAAAACTCTGTATATTTCTACGTTTTTAAACGTATTTGTTGTCGTAATATTTGGGACTGTTTCAAGTCAAACTTATGAAAATGCTACACGTTTAAGATCGGATCTTTTAGCAAACTACCATAAAGATGTACGACCGATAAATAATCAATGGATGTGGTAAATGTAAATGTAACGCTTGATCTGTTCGGATACCTGAAATCGACGACGTAAGGGGTGTGATCACTATAACAGTTGCAACTCAATGTGTATGGATAGATGAACGGATGCAATGGGATCCTGCTGATTATGGGGGCATTTCTAAAATTCTTATTTTAACAAGTGAAGCCTGGACTCCTTCTATTTCACTTGGAACGCCTGTTGAATTTGCTACAATGGGCTCGGTTAATAATCATGTAATCTTCTTTCCAAGCGGGTTCGCACTGTTTTATCCAGGCGCTGTTTTGAAAAGTGCATGTGGATTTAATATGAAATTTTGGCCTTTCGATAAACAGATATGTGATGTCGGATTTTATCCTTTAGATTATACAACGGACCAACTATTATTTACGATTAATGATGGGGTAAGAACTAAGTCATTCACTCCAAACGCTGAATGGGTTCTTGAAGATACATCATATTACACTATAAACACGGCTGCATATTCAAATGCAAAATTTCGGTTTAAACTGAAACGGCAATCACTCTTTTATGTTCTAACCATTATTTTACCGATCAATGGTATCGCCGGACTTACCTGCCTCGTTTTTCTTTTACCTAGCGAGTCTGGTGAACGCGTCAGCTATGCAATTACGATAATGTTATCCTTAGCAGTTTTCTTGACTGTGGTTTCTGATGAAATGCCAAAGTCCTCGGAACCGATATCATTAATGTGTTGTTACATTCTAGCTGGAATATGTGTGAGTGTTATAGGAACCGTTTTGGCCATACTTAATCTAGCTGTGTATCACCGTAAGGAAAATGTTCTCAAGAGACCGTGGCATATTTCACTCGTTATGTTTTCAAACTGTACTAGAAATAACAAAGTGAGCGATGAACAAGACAGGGACAAGCGTATTCAGGACATTAAATACGGTAATTGCACCAACACATGATAAGACAAAAGCAACCAAGACACACATCATTAAAGTAAATGAGGCCGAGAATAAAGACGCTTATGGTCAAACAATAACGTGGCAAGATGTGAGTCTTGCCATTGATAAGCTTTTATTTTATGCAATGGTCTTTTTGACGTATATTCCATCCATTGGGTTCTTGATATATCTTGGTGCAGCCTCAGATTATCAAATGTGAAATAGATATTTTTTGTATATAATTGTATGTCTTTACAGACTATCTGTATGATATAAATACAGTTTTACAAGTACATTGTAATCTACTTAATTGGTATTTTGAATAATATGACTTTCTGAATAAGGGGATATTTATACGTGTAAATATATTTCTACAATAGAGTACATGCACTAGTTTATTCTTTAAAAAACTTTCAATCATAGTTTACGTAGCGTTATTTCAAGTAACCTTTTTTTCGTGCATTTTGAATGTTTCAATGCATGTTTCTACATGTACAACATTCAGAAGTTTGCTACATATTTATTTCATATGACAGGACTTGCATTTTGATATGAAAGCATTAATTGGAACGAACTATTTGTTGATTTTTCGCTTTTTGTTTTACAATATACCAACATTTTTTCGTGAATAAAACATTGTTTCAGCCTTAACAATCTTTTTGATCATAGAGATCAGTTTGCAGTTATGTAATAATAATGTCATTTATTGAACTGTTCTTCACGCCTTATTAGGTTATTTTTAATGCACCACTGTACACCAAACAATTAAGATTTATCTAAAACTGTCATATTTGTTTTAACTCTTTAAAATACTGAATAAAATATTTTTGAAACATATCAAACATTTTTATCTTAATCTTTTTAAAGACACTTTTGTACAAACTAATTGTTTTCTACTATAAAATGTCTACTTTTAAAAAGGGGGTACTAAGGCAAATAAATGATAAAAATATTAAAAAGATTTAATGTACTCAAATCACGCTTAAATGACATTTGTAAAGCCCAGCATGATTTTCTGTTTAAATTCTATATATTTTGAGTTTGAAGGTAAATATATATCTAGATACATTGAACAAAATCTAGACTCCGACAGAATCAATGAGTAGTTTTAAAACAACTATTGTGAAATCTTAACGCTCTAACCTGACCCACGAGGGTCGGGTTAGGAAACCACCATTTTATTCTTTATAAGACAAAAAGTTTTGTTCCTATGACTGCCTAATCTTTTTATATTGACGACATTTAAGGAATAATGAATGAAAAAATCATAACAAAGAAATAAACAATTTGCCCAGGTCTCTAGTGTTTTTTAATCTAACTATGCTGTATCATGCATTTATCGGATTTTACCATGTATTTTATTAATATTGATTAACACTTGATCAAATATTGCTTACATAAGTCAGCAGGAACTGCAGAAAATTTCAAATATTCTATTCACATCCTTTGTTGGAGAAACTGACACACGTTTTACTGGGGCATAATTGTGTTTATGGGTTAAAACGTTGTTTCGTACCCATCGTTACTGTATCATTCGAAAACGAAATATAGAATTAATTACAAAAGAATAAAAAAACACGTTTATTGTTGCTTTTGTCATAATATTTAAAATATTATTTACAAAGAATCTTAAATATCACGGACAATTATTTTACATTATTATATACTGAAATGCATGTGTTTAAATGCTTTTATTTCTTATAATCTTGTTTAGCAAACTTGTTTGACGGTTAAATCTGGATATATTTTATAATGTTACCAATTTATGATATGTACATTTAGAACCGATAATTGATTGATTAATTTAGTTTACAAGAAACCAGCAAAGTGTATTGATTAGCTTGAGGGAAAACAAGAACAAAAAATACCCATCTTAAATTCAATTATTTCGCTACGTCAAATATTATTAAACTAAATCAAATAATGAAAGAATCAATCAATTCATTAAACACTTAATTATCGTAATGTTTCTAACACGTGCCTAACACCACAAATAGTACTTCGTTTTCGTTTTTAAATGCGGAAAATACGAATTTCTGGTCAATAATATTTACATTTGCGTTAAGACAGCAGTGTACTGTTAGCATTTCTTTTCTAAAATTTTTGATGTACACAAAAAGGCTTTGTTTAGTTTATAGTAATGAATCTATTTTGTTTGCGTTGTATTGTTAAAAATTTATATGCGCAATAATAGCATTATTATAATTACCAATTTAGTCAAATATTAAATATTAAAACTATCGATTGTCTATAACATGGAATATGGTCAACCTTTTATGAACTGATATAACTTTAAAAATTGTTAAATAGTCCAAAAATCGTTTATATAACCCATTGGTAACAGTCCGTGCAGAAACTTCACTATCTAAGTTAAAGGAACGAAAGAAAGGAAAATGCAATATATATGCTTATGACTATTACAGTCACGTTTTGTTATGCAAAACAGATCGAGAAAACGAGGAATAAATCTCCTGTCAGAGCAATAAAAATGGTCAGCCGACGTTTGCCTCTACGTTAATATCTACAAATAAATATACTTATTTTAATTATTTATACGTGATTGAAATTAATTGATGAAGAAGTCGGGAAATTTCTTGAATTCGTCAATCCTCTTCAACAAATATCCCGTTACTGAAGATCAACACTGCTTAATTTAGTTCAATATTAGTTTGCATCAAAATACATTAAATTGGAAATGAATAGTTTAGAAACACATCAAAAATCGACGCATCATTAACGAACTCAAATGATTATTTTACACAGTGATGACTAAAAGATATTTTCAAATCATATATATTAAGTCTTTACCTTTTTGTAGGATTGTTTTAAAATTCCAATCGTTACACCTGTTGGTTTCATTTTCGAAATTACTCTATCACGGGTGTACTGTGTTAATGAGCTTCTTTAGAAAGGGCAACCATGACTTTTATTATAATACAGAAATAAAAGTTTTAAAGAATGTAAGATATTTTTCTACCCGCAGAAAGTATCAATAAATGTTTAATAACTTAAATAAAAGTAGCAAAATATAAACAAAGTAATATTTAGACTTCCATGTACAATACTTCTTCAAAATACCTGTACTTACTGCCCAAAAAACAACATGTGATTTGGGTTATTGTCCAGTGAGTTACTTTTTGGATACAATAGAATCACTCCAAATTTGAAAAGCTCTCAAAAAATGAAACTAAAAGCTTTTCTGAGACATAAAAGGCCCAGTAACAACGTAAAAAGATGATAATTAAAGTTGCAAAACGAATAAAGTCGTATGGCATTTGTATTACAAAGATCTTTGATAAGCAAGTAGAATCAGCAAACAATTAAAAAAAAAATATCTTCTGATATCGTCCCATTGCATTTAACATTTTTCATAAGAATAATAATCTAATGTTTAATTTCTTTCTTTTATTAGTTAAATATAAAATGTTGAATTAAATCGATATATATTGAAATCTTTTCGTAGACGTTATCATTATCATTACATTTCGTTTACTTTTGGAAATGTTGATTTGTGGAAACACTACCGTTATAAATCCCATTTAATACTACAAGCATGTGTCATTGATGACCAGGCAAGTCAAGCAGACAACAACTTAGTCTGGAATTTCCCCTTACACTATGTTATCTTTCCGTAGTAAATGTAGGCAGGGAACCAAACTAGAAGTAAATACAATACTAAATTGCATGATAGAAATAAAAACATACCAAAATATGATTTAATCATATATTTATTTTCGAAATTTAGAAATTTCGTTGATTCATAAAGGCACTAATCTGAAATTCGAAAAAGTATATCATGTTAAAAATTCATCGTTACGGTATAATATAATGATAATTCATACAATCGAAGATGTTAAATGTTTTTTTTTTTTTTAAAAAAAAAACGATAAAAGCTGAGAAAAACGTCAGAGTCTAAAAACAAAACCAGCAAATTCACCGGTTGTCTTATCATGAAAAATGCACAAAATATTATAACATATTTGATACATGCAAATTCAAGTGATACTAACTTATCGTTGCAAAAAAAATTTAGGTGTCAGGGGCTTGAAAATGCTGTTTTTTACGAAAATGGATACACTTTATATACAGAAAGAGCAAAAAGCCGGTGTTTTGTTGTACGGTAAGGAAAAACGCAGAACTTACTTTTTACATTTTAATTAAACATAAAAAAGTATATACGTGTATCATGATAATTAAGGTGATTAGAACGATTAATCACAAAAAGGGGGAACACATTTTTTATATACATTACATGTACATGTATCTGTATTTCTTTTCTTTTAGGTTGGAACGGGCAGCCGCCGAGTAAAAACACTTACGTTCTGTAAACAATTCTGTGTAGTTTCCTCACATGAATATTCAAAACGCCCCTGGCAGGATTCGAACCCACAGCGGTAAGAGGCAAATGGTATGAGTTCAACGAAATCAACAACTAGGCCTCAGATGCCCCAATTTTGTGATTTTGATATATATTTTATATAACTTTTTAAACAGTTACGCATATTTAAGGACATCCTTATTGATTGCCTGTAAATAAAAAACAATTGAAATATATATGTACTTTTGTCTCTCAATATGTTTTTTTCCGAAGTTTTGTTTGCAGAAAGAACCTGGAATGACAATTCATTGAATTTGTCTATGAATTTATTAAAACACTACAAATGATGAATCTGTTCACAAAGCTGGCAATAGCATAGCGAACGTTTATTTTGGAACTATCATTAACTGCAGTTCATTAAACGAAGTTCATTACCAAATCCGATTCAATGTCCTCTAATTTCAGCAAATTGTGCGTCGTAACGAGTTTTTGATCGATCCGACAAAACGCATCTCATATACATTCATATAGCTTTAACCAATCTTATAAGATTACCAAAGCTCTGTCAACAGTACATATCTTCTTTTTCTTAGTTTTGAAGCAAGTCAATTGAAAGTTTCATCACAAGTTTTGAGGAAGCAACAGACGGCGTGAGGCGAGATTAACACATAATTTATGTATTTTATAACGATAGTAAGAATATATTATGAAACATTGACAGTCGCTGCTCGCTGAGATGCTTGAAATGGGATTCATTCTAACTAAGTTGGTCTGTTGTTAATATTTTGTTTGGAAAAGGTATTTTGTTTTGTTACCCCTCATTTTTCTTTTTTTTCCATTAGCAAATGGGTGTTATCCTGACTGGTGATTCAAATGTACCACGTGATTAATAAAAATGTAATATAACAATATTTTGTAAAAGGGAAACGGCCGCCATTTTTTCTCGATCCGGCTTCAAATTTTTTGAAGTTGATAAGGCAGGCCTATGCACTGTGTGACATTGAGTAGATTATGATATTATTCAAATTTATAACCTTTATGCGTATAAAACATCATTTGCTTGAATAGCTAATACAAACACCCGGGTCAGACATCCAGTTACAAATGTGCATAACCATTACTTGTCACATCTGGGAAGCATATTTATCAGGCAATTGCACACATCAAGAAAACATTTTATTATTCAAACTGATTCTGAATGAGATGTAGACAGAATAAAAGACTATTCCAAAGTTGGACATCGTAGTTGCAAATTCATATTTTGAAACAAAAATGTAGATATGACGAAAATTCTTGATCACCATCTCATGAACCGTATATATGTGTTTGTGTTTTGATTTGATATAATATTGATATACAGCTCACACTATATGTGTTATGACTGGTACATTTCAACAAGTAAGCAAAGAAAAATGAAAAGAAGTAAAGGGTGATATTTAACTGTTATCAACAAACCTATGTACTATTTATATATTATTGTTTTTAGA